TATTTTTAATTTTCTTGGGGGAAATCTCTATAATGCTTCTCATAATGGCTACAATGATTTACATTCCCCTCACAGTAGTAAGGATTTGTTATTTTTTTGTTTGTTTGCATTTTTTATGATAGCCATTCTAAGAGGAGTGAGATGAGATCTCATTCTGGTTCTGACTCACATTTCCTTTTTTATTTTTTATTTTTATTTTTATTTTTTGGTTCCGGTCGTGGGGCCTGAACTCTGGGCTTGGACGCTGTCCCTCAGCTCTTCAGCTCAAGGCTAGCACTCTACCATTTGAGCCACAGCACTACTTCCGGTGTTTGTTTGTTTTTTTTTTTTGCTTATGTGGTGCTGAGGAATTGAACCCAAGGCCTCATGCATGCAACACAAGCACTCTACCACTGAGCCACCTCCCAGCCCTGTGACTCACATTTTCTAATGAGTAGTGAGCCCAAGCTTTTTTTTTGATATACTCATTGATCACTTGTATGTCTTTAAAGAAGTCTCTACTCTGTATCTCATTTTAAAATTAGATTATTTGTTTTGTGATTTTACAGGGAGTGTGGGGCTTGGTGGTTTGTTTCTGTTTGTGTTTATTCTTTGTGTTCAGCTTTTTGAGTTATTTATATAGTCTGGAAATCAGCCCATTATTGGATCAACCCATAGTTGACATTTGTTTTACTGTTCTGTAGGTGATCTCCTAATTCTGTTGACAATTTTCCTTTGTTGTGTAGATGCTTCAGTTTCCTACAATACTATTTTTCTGGTTTTACTTTTGTTGCCAGTGCCTTTAGGGGTCATATTTTAAAAAGGAATCCATAGTGGTGGAACAAGTTTATACTCCCACCAACTATGTAGTAAGGTTTCCTTCTGTCCACATCCCCTCTAGCATCTGTTGTTATTAGAGTTCTTGATTATAGCCATTCAAACTGGGATGAGGTGGAATCTCAATGCTGTTTTGATTTGCATGTCTTTTATGGTTAGAGAGGTTGAGCATTTCTTCATGTATCTATTGGCCATCCTTCTTTCCTCTTCAGAGAAGTTTCTCTTTAAGTCTTTAGCCTTCTTATTTATTGGGCAGTTGTTTCTTGTTCAACCACTTTGAAAAGTAGTATGGAGGTACCTCAAAAGACTCCACATAGAGCTCCCCTATGACCCAGCAATCCCACTATTGGGCATTTACCCAAATGTTTACAAACAAGACCACACTAAAGCTACCAGCACAACTATGTTTATTGCAGCATTATTTACCATAGCTAAGATATGGAACCAACCCAGATGCCCCTCAGTAGATGAATGGATCAAGAAAATGTGGTATATATACACAATGGAATTCTATGCCTCCATCAGAAAGAATGACATTGCCCCATTTGTTAGAAAATGGAAAGATTTGGAAAAAATTATATTAAGTGAAGTAAGCCAGGCCCAAAGAAACATAGGTCCCATGGTTTCTCTTATTTGCAATAACAAGTATATGTATGAGTCAAGCAGAAAAGGTCAGATAAGTTGATGTTAGGGGAATGAACCCCAAGATACGTATTTAAATGTTTTTTTCTTTCATGGAATTGTTTCTAACATATTTATAAGATGATTTCTATGTTGCTTTGTATGTCCCTCCCCCACGATATAACCTTTGCTTTCACTGTATTTGATGTTGGTGTAATTTGTGGAGGGGAAGGGCAAAAACAAATCATTCAACTAGGCATACAGGTGGACCCATTGCAACAATGACATGTACAAGTCATTATGTTGAAAAACAAACTTTACAACTTTGGTGGGGGGGGGGGAAGATCGGGTTGGGGGAGGTGGGGGGAGTATGGGAAGGGGAAACAAAGAGGAGGCAACAATGCTTGATAAGAAATGTACTCATTATCTTGACCATGTAATTGTAACTCCTCTGTATGGTATTCTCACAATAATAAAAAAAAAAGGAATCCATATACAATGTCTCAAAGTGTTCCCCTCTTTTAAAGAGATTACATAGTTTCCCATTTCACAGGTATTTTGTTTGTGTGTGTGTAAGGTGAAAAGACATATTCTAGTTACATTAACTGTGCATGAATGACGCTAGTGCCAAGGCAGGTTAGTGAAGTCTTTACTCTATTACTTGGAGCTCTTGTTAGGTATTTGAACACAGTGTCTGGGTTTCTATCCTATCCATTGAGCTATGTGTCTATTTTTTGGTAGTACTATGCTGGTTTAGTAACTATAGATTTATAGTATGTTTTAAAATCAGGTATTTTAATGATGTCTCCATTATTATTTTGGTTTGGTTTGGTTTTCTGGAACAGAATTCTATGTCTGTAAAAGAAGTCATTGGTATTTCAGTAGGAATTAGATTGATTATAGATTACTGTGGGTAATAGGGTCATTTTAACAATATTAAGCCTATCAATAAGCACCACATATGTTTCTACTTGGTATCTTTACACTTTTTCATCATTGATCTATAATTTTCACTTTTGTCATTAAATTTATTCCTATTTAGCAGCTATTGTGCTTAAGAGTGCTTTCCAATAAGCAAAATTTTCTTCTCCAACAAGATTCTAGTGTAGAAAATGTTACTTTTTGTGTTAATTTTATCCTATAACTTTATTAAATTTGATTATAAGTTCTAATAGCTTTTCTGATTGAGTCTTTGCTTAATATAAAATCCTATCATCTGTAAACTATAGTAATTTAGCCTCTAATATCTTATGAGTTGAGCCTGTGTGCTACTGGGGCTTGTGGCACTGGTATCTGTGGTTGTGAAGCTACAAGTCATGGATAGACGGCCTGTAGGTCATGTAGGACAAGCTCTTATGAGGAACAAGGCTTATGGAACTGGTAGCCAACATCTGAAGCTGAAAGACATAGATGGAGACTTCCCCTGCTCCTTAGAGACAAGCTTGGGTAATGCCTTCTATACCACCAGCTTCAGTCCTAACATTATGGGGCTGGGAAGGAAATTGCTAGTTCCTACTGGGTGAGCACCAATGAGGTCTGAGTCTTGAGGGCATTACTGCACTGTAGCTACATCCCTAAAACTGCAGGACGCAGCTAGACTCTTTCCTAGCTCCTGAAGGACAGGTTCAAGGGAAGCCAGGACTTTGCACCTGCAGCTATAGCCCTAAGACTGTGAACTAGGAAGGACACTTTCCCTAGTTCCTACCGGATGAGCACAGTGGTAGAGGCATGGTGGGGAATAGGATCCCTGATAGCTCTGTTCTATGTCTCAATGGCTAGGCCTTGCAGTCATAGCTATAGTCTCAAACAAACAAGTTCTCTGAACATTTCTTCACCCATAAAAGCTTGAGAATTCTTATCCATTAGTACACTAAGGAGAATACTGATGGACCAAAAAATTAGCTTGAGGAAACAAAAAAATATCACTGATTTTGCTTTATAATACTATTCTAAAACACTTCAGGTAAAAGAAAAACATTACTATATTAGTATGGTACAACCCTTCCAGAGTTCTAGAAAACCAAGTTTCTGCTTGAATTGACTCAAACCATCTAGGCATGTACCAGGGGAAAATGGAGTGAATTAATTATAAATGCAATGTTTCCCTAGAGTTTCACCCAATTAACTAACAAAAGACCATATTCAAACTGCAGAATATAGGTTAGCTACCAAGGAGAAAACTAGTCAGATGTCAATCATTTTGTTCATTCTCATTCACTTTTCTGTCATTAATTAACATTCTAAGAATAAGCCTTGAAATGCAATGGTATCTTTTTCTTTTTTTTTCAACCATGATCAAGTTGACTTTATCCCAGAGCTATAAGGATGATTCAACATAAACAATAAATATAATAATGCACATCACAGAATAAGAAACAACAAGTTCATGCTTAACTCAATAGATACATAAAAAGTTTCTGACAAAATTCAATATCCATTCATGATGAAAGCCCCTCAAAATTGCCATCCTGGGATCTTCTTAAATAACCTTATTAAAATGTATCCAAGAGTATCACTTTTTGTATGTTATAAAGTTGTTTCTAATACCATAATCAAATAGCCAGACCAAGTCTGATGAAATCAGTCTCCCACATGGATGATTTACAATTAAATATTTTGTGAAAGGAGCAACCAAATAATTCAGCTTAACAATGAAGGACTGCTGACAGTAATTTGCTCACTACATTAAGGCTTTCAGCTACTCTGCAGACATGTACAAGTCAAATCATTCTACTGAAAGAAAAACTATCTTCATTTGATAGTTCTGAATAATGTATATGCCTTGTAGCCATACAAGCAAGACACTATCTGAACATTTAGTCAACATGAGCACAATTCAAGATTAACTATTCCTTTACTTAAAATAAAATGTGAGTATTCATGTATATAAAAATATTCATGTATATAAAAATTATGGGGTTGGGAAGGTGGCTAAGTGGTAGAGAGTGCTTGCCTTGTGAGGCCCTGGGTTCAATTCCTCAGCACCACATAAGCAGAAAAAGCCAGAAGTGGCGCTGTGACTCAAGTGATAGAGTGCTCGCTTTGAGCTGAAGAGCTGACAGTGCCCAGGCCCAGCGTTCAAGCCACATGACCAACCAAAAAAGAAATGTTAACAATGATTTAACTTTCAAGATGAGAAGCAATTTAAATTTTATTTAAAATATATTGGTGAGAACATTTATTTAACTTAAAAAGCAAAAATGTAAATCATATATGTAATGAGATAGTATTTAAATTGGAAAGTAATTTTTCAAAGCTACTATAAAACAAAACTTTTATAAAAGTCCACATGACCGATTATATAATTGAAATCTATTAACATATTCAGAGATGATTTTCATATTGCCTTACAATAGACATCTTCAACTGACAGATTAGGCATGATAGTGGTAAAATTACTTTATTTGTTCGTGATATTTAATTTCCAGCCTAGCTGGCTCCTAGACAGCAAAGGAACCCCATGCATTTTATCACTAGAAACAAGTTGGGCAGCTCTCAGGGCAGGATAAAGATCAAAGAGGATAGAGGATGCTGTACTTCAGAAGTTACCAAACGTATTGTACCTTGTATTGTGAGAAAAACAGAAGCTGCTGCCGATCCACCTTCATTTGAAACTGTACAATGGTACTGTCCCGCATCGCTGATTTTCACACTCCTTAGCTCCAGGGAGAGGTTAGCCAACATCCTGATCCTTGCTGGTTCCACCAGTCTCACATCCCTGCTGTTCCTCTGCCAGGTTAGATTGTAATCCACAGCGCTGGTGACAAGACAAGTCAAAACTGCGGTCTCCCCAGGAGTGATGGTAACATTTTCAAGCACTTGGATGATGGGAGGAGGCTCTGAATAAAATCAAAAGACTAAAATCAAAACACTTAGAGATCTTTTATAGGTACTCCTTAAGAATTGTGTATTGACTTTTTTTTTTGGGGGGGGGGTGCTAGTCCTGGGGCTTGAACTCAAGGCTGGGGTGCTGTTCCTGAGGTTTTTTTTTTCTCTTTGCTCAAAATTGGTTCTCTACCACTAGCCACAGATCCATGTGCAACTTTTTGGGTAGTTAGTTGCAGATAAGAGTCTTGAGGACTTTCTTGCCTGGGCTGACTATGAACCATGATCCTTAGCTTTCTGTCTCCAGCGAAGCTAGGATTAAGGGAAAGTGAGCCATCAATACAGGGCTCTGAATATTGAGGAGTAAGATGTAGTATTACCACTGAACTTATTAAATGAGGCAATTTTTAAACTTCAGTTTTAACTCTGGGTATCATTTTTTTTAACCTTAAAATATATACTCAGTGTTTTCAAGAATATAACACACACAGGATGGCAGACAGTATCAACTCTAAGAGGGGCTGCAATCTCACAAGAAGACACTGTACAACAATACAGTGATCAATGTCCTCTTATCAGGAATGAGAAGCAATTTGATCTAAGAAAGAATATGAAAGAGTAGGGGCAGTAGCCGGGCACCGGTGGCTCACGCCCTTAATCCTAGCTACATAGGAAGCTGAGGTCTGAGGATCACAGTTCAAAGCCAGCCCGGGCAAGAAAGTCTGTGAGACCCTTATCTCAATAAACCACTAGAAAACTGGAAGTGGTGCTATGGTTCAAGTGGTAGAGTGCACGCTTTGAGCTGAAGAGCGCAGGGACAGCGTCCAAGCCCAGCGTCCAAGCCCCAGGACTGACAAAAAAATTAATAATAATAGGTACAGACCTATAACAAAACTGCCCACTTAGAACCATGAGCACAAAAGATTGTTCAAAGCCTAATTGCTAATTATTTAACCCTTAGAGAGTCACAGATTGCTTGAGTTAATAGTAAGCATGAATCAATTCCTTCTTGATATCTCACTCTTTAAATGCTTTAAAATATTCTCTTTTAGCCATCTTTTACAATATAGTAGCAATGGAAACTAAGCTTAACATGGCTTGTTGGAAACCCATATGCCTGCTGTAGTTAAAATATGAAAGCATGAAGACATTCGAGATCAAATTCATCCCTGAGCTTCTTTTATTTTTTGCCAGTGCTGGGGCTTGAACTCAGGGCCTAGGCCCTGTCCCTGAGCTTCTTTTGCTCAAGGCTAGCACTCTACCACTTGAGCCACAGCTCCATTTCCAGCTTTTTCTGTTTATGAAGTACCAAGGAATTGAACCCAGGGCTTCATGCATGCTAGGCTGGTGCTCTACCACTTAGCCACATTCCCAGCCCATCCCTGAGACTTTTGAGAAGTATACATTAGTGAGGATAAGAATGGCCATAATCAAGGAAAAAATACAAATAATACTTTAATTATGCATAGTATGCATGGATATGTCTCATGCAACATTTACAATACATTCAGACCACCTAATGATGGAATGGACGCCTAGTTATTCTTTCTCAATTCAGAGCTGTCCCACCCCCTGGGCTGTCCGAAGGGTCAAAGGAGGCCCTTTGGCAACAACATCACAGGTGATGTCTTCCTTTCCCCTCCCCCTTACAGGTGCTTTGCCCTAGAGAACTTCCCCAATTACATGCTTGCACAAAAGCTATGTCTCACAGGCTAGTCCCTGTTCAACTATAAATTAAACAAAATGAAAAAATGTTAACAGAGAGTTTGACAAGTAAGATCTGAAATAATATGTAACCCTGCTGCTGCACAAATGTCTGCAGACAGTAAAAATTATGCATGCCAGCACATTCATACATGTGTGAATAAATCTGAGAGAGACAGGGGGAAGATGGGGAAGAATTATGGAAGCTGGAGAAGGAGACCAGGATTACAGTTTACCAGAACTAATCTGTAATAACAATATACAATGACTACTAAGCCTAGCATATGGGGACCAGAGAAGGCCCTCAGTCCCAAGGTAGGAAGGAGTTCAACCCACATGACTTAACCGGGGTCCTGAGATGGAAGTGGTAGTTCAGGAGTTTACTAACTACTCTATCTGGTCATGAATGGGTCACTTGCTCTTTGTAGCCTTTTCTCTCTTTTACCTAAAAAAACAATGAGGTATTACATTATTTCTGTTTTATTCTTTTCTGAAAGGATATCCTATAACTAAAATGGAGAGTTTCCTGTCATGCACATACCTTTGATAAGTTTTCTTTATTCAGATTTTAACTTAAACCAAGAATTTTAGTTCTAGAGGAGGGGCGTTGAATGAGGGGTTGTGTGTCAAAAAAAAAAAAACGCATAGGAAATGAATATAACTTTGTAATAGTATTGAATCAAACTATCCTTTTAAAAGAATGACTCTTACAAACTTCTAAAATGTCATTCAATATTTTCTATACACTTATACTCAGTAAAAGAAAAAGAAAATGCTTGCTACACTCATTTTTCATTTAAAACAACCATCCCTACCATTTCAAGTGATCCAAACTCCTAAAACGCGTTTTTCAACAAAGCGTTGAAAAACTATTGAGCAATAAATTGGTAGAACTTAAGCTTCTCTGTAAACTGCTCTCAGATGCTTTCTGACTTTATATAACACATGAATGTCCACAGTGACACAAGAATCACCATCCCATAATGTCTCATTCCCCCATACTCCTTAGGAAAATCCAAAATCTGATTTTTCTGGGGGTTGGCACCTGACTCCTGTATGCTGATAGGCAACTTCAGAAGGGTGGCTGAACTGGGACCTCAGCCTAGGCTAAGAGAAATTCAGATGTAGGTGGATGTTAAAATCAGGTGTGTTCAACATGGAGTTGTTTCTTCAAGAAATGTTAAATCCATGGGGGGTCCTAGCTTGCTAGTTCTTCCACCATAGGAACAGTTACTACCATTGGCACTTCTGGCACTTCATTTTCTAATCCACAGAGTGGGAAATAATTCCTGATAATTGGTGTGGGCACAGTAATTGCCTAGCTGACACCAGGGAATGTTAGAAGAGTAACATATGTAGTAAAGTACATATATAGAAGTCACCATACGAAAGAGCTAAGCTCCGAACAGCGTAGTCAGAAGTTTTTCCTGACACTTCCAAGGCATTTATGTAAGCCTTCTGGATCAACCTGCCCACGCCTCTTTCTCTCTTGTCTTTCTCTTAATTAATATTGCTGGGAAAAATACTCAAGTGCTCAAGTGTTTTGTTTTCCCAGAAGCTAAGGAATGTTGACATAATTCCAGTGCTTTTCAAACTTCTGGGGATGAAGAAATGAATCGTTTGTATGTCAACTTGCTAAATTCTTTTAGAGGACAAACTTTATTTTTTTAAGAATAAGAGAATGCAAATAGTTTTACTGGGAGGGTGAATATGGTCAAAATACTTTATGTGCACATGTGCATATGAGACAATAACTCTCACTGAGACTCATTTGGGAAGGGGGAGGAAATGCGAGGGACAGGGATGAAGGGGTAAGTATGATCAAGGTATGCTGCATGTATATATGGACATGTCAAGATGGAATCCTCTTGTACAAACAAAAATATGGGGCTGGGCACAGTGGCTCACGCCTGTAATCCTAGCTACTCAGGAGGCTGAGATCTGAGGATCATGGTTCAAAGCCAGCCTGGGCAGGAAAGTATTATCTCTAATTAATTAGCAGGAAAATGGAAGTGGCACAGTGGCTCAAAGTGATAGAGTGCTAGCCTTGAGTAAAACAATCTTAGAGACAGCACCCAGGCCCTGAGTTCAAGCCTCATGACTGATACCCTCTACCAGATCCCCTCCCCCCAAAAAAAGGAAAGAAAAAGAGTTTTACTGCAAAGAGTACATGCTGGCAGACAGGTTCTTAAACAATTCTCTAGTTGGAAAACTTTTTTCATGTCTTAAAATTACCTCAGGAAAATGTACACCAATACCACAAACAAACAAACTTATAGACATTTTTATAAGCCTAGCAGCAGTGGCACTTACATCAGAAGAGTTTACCATTAAATATCTGGCATCAACACAGAAGGTAGAAAGTACTATAGTCAAAATAGAAGTTTTTAATGAAATTAAAGATATATGATGAGTTAAAAGGCTTAATCCTGATCATTGATTATTACAAGGTAGTTTTTTTTGTCCTAAGAATTCTGGGAGGTTAAATGGAAAAGAATTTCACTTCAATGTGTTTACCTTACAAAATACTATAATCCTGCCTCCCATGGAGTCACATGAAATCTACTATCTGGATATAAAATAATGAGTACTACTGCTCCTGTTCTCAATACTAGCACTAAGTCATTCTGTAGTGCTGGTACTAAGTAGTAATGTAGTAGTGGTACTGCAGCACCACGTCAGTCTCTCTTCCTAGAAAATGATCACCCACTTCCATCACTAACTTCAATACAAAAGTCAGAGCTGTTTTATAAGAGTTCTCAGTTCATCATGAACATGGGAGAAAGCAGAAGTTTGGCCATAACATTTTCAGAACAGATCCTTTCCTTAGACTATTTTCTGAATAGAAAATGCCAAATGGTTATTTCAAAACACATTTATTAAATCTCTGTAATAATGGTAGTAATGATAATCTAATAGCAATAGCTGTCTCATATCAAGTGTATCTATGGGCCAGAGTATCTTCTAGGTTACACACACACACACACACACACACACACACACACGTATATGTGTATATATAATATAGATATACATACATTGAGACTGCTGTTAATATCCTTATTTTATAGTTATGGAACAAAGGTATTGAGTCCTTAAATAATAATGAAAGGAAGATCACACAACTTGAATATGGTGAAGCCAAGATTTGAGTTCACAATTCAGTGGGGAAGACAGACAATTATAGAACAATCATAAAGGCAATTGTATCAAAGCAAACGGAGTACCAGCATCTCACTTCCATAGGCAAATTAATACTCATATGACTGTAAAGAAGTTAGTGACAATTACCTGATACATCAAAAAATGTTTGTGCCCTCCCAGTCCCTGCGCTGCTGACAGCAATGCATTCATAGGAGCCTTCGTCAGACAGAGTCACCTTTTCAATATCCCAGCTCACACTGGCAGATTCTCTGGGGGGAATAAAATGATAATAAATAAATAAATAGTTGGTGTAACAGTGAGATCAAGTTGAAAGCATATCCAATTATTTCTTCTTGATGGATTCATTTAAAAGAACAATGCTTGATAAGAAATGTACTCATGACCTTGCCCATGTAATTCTGTACGGTAGTTTCATAATAAAAAAAAAAAAGAAAAATGTAGAAAACAATTTGATAAAGCTACAGATATATACTTTTGTTTCTTTTCTTTTTTGTCGTTCGTGGGGTTATAACTCTGGGCCTGGGCGCTGTCCTTGCGCTCCTCAGCTCAAGGCAAGCGCTCCACCACTTGAGCCACAGCTCCACTTTTGGTTTTCTAGTGGTTTACTGCAGACAAAGAGTCTCATGGACTTTCCTGCCCTGGCTGGCTTTGAACTGAACGCTCAGATCTCAGCCTCCTGAGTAGCTAGGATTACAGGCATGAACCACTGGCGCCCGGCTACAACATTTTTACATTTTAACCAGACCAGTAGAATTTTCTACTCTGAAGAAAAGATCCAACAAAAACAAGAAAAGATGAAGACTAGATTTCTACAGGAAATCACTGTTGGCCTATGTCAAAATAGAAACTCACAATGATGAAAAAGAAACATTTGTTAAATATCATTCTATACTTTCTAGTTTTTGACCAGGATAATAGACTAATCAATCAGATCACATAATTTACAAGTGTGAAGATACTAAATCAACTCTTTGATTTAAGACAATTACATCCATTAAACTTACTTAGATATAAGCTCTATTTTGAGCTTATATGGAAACCATTGGGTAAATTTACATGAATGATGAAGAAAGAAAAAAAATGATTCATTTTATAGTCAGCCTCAGTCTGTCATCTAAGTTATCAACCATTTGCTCTATTTTATATTCATCCATTTAAGAGGCATTTATTCTTTGTCCTTTGACAATATTCAAGTTATTATCTTTTTGTGGCAGTGGGGTTTGAACTCAGGACCTAAAGGCTTGCTCAACTGGTGCTCTACCATGTAAGCTCTACACCCAAATTTTCAAAGTTTTTATTTTATTGAAATATCACAGTAGTAGATATGTAATGTTTGTTTGGAGAGGAAGAGAAGGATGGGTAGGGGAGGGATTGGTAAGGATGTTGAAAAGGGTGACATCAAAAATTTAGGCTCATGGAAATTTTAGATCATAAAATAAAATTTCCTTTTGTCAATGCGAGGGTTGGAACGCAGGGCCTCTTACTTGCTTGGCTTGCTTGCTTTGGCTGGTGTTTTACCATTTATGCTATGCCAACAGCCCAGGTTTTGCTGCTTATTTTAGAGGAGTCTCCTAAACTTGTATACTCTGGTTGTTTTTGAACTGCAATCCTCCAAATCTCAGCCTCATGTGTTGATAGGATTCAAGGCATGAGCCATCAGTGCCCAGAGTCAGAAAGTGGACATTCTTCTAGACCCCAAACCCTCATTTAAAAAATAGAAATGTTGAATAACAAGTCATTTGTGGAAAGCTACATAACCAGTTTGCTAACTGCTTAAAGAATAGACTTTTCCATTCAACTTGATGCCTTCTCCTTTTTTGAAATACTACATAAAAATAATCTCTTTCATGCAGCCTTCTCGGTTGACATAAGAAGCATGTGACCACAATAAGTGAAGTGTTTAAGAGATGGACTTTGGCACAGGCAAGAAAACATGACCACCAGAAATGCTAATGCAAACTCAGTGTTCTTTTACATCCCCTAAGACCAAGGGAACTGACAGAGCAGAGATTAAGTCACATGCTTTACAGTATCAGGAAATCTAAGGCAGAGACATGTGAGTGAATTGGGATTAGAGCATCAGTCTATCATCACTCATGGCTAACTTTGTCACCAAACTCTCCTGTCCAAAGGCTTAGTACATGTCAGCAAGCCATGTCATGGCTCTGGACCACAAAGCTGGAAAAATGAGCAAAAAAGAATTCTTGTGGCTTACCTCCCAGGAATTGTGTGGAATTAATGAATTAATGTTTATAAAAGAATCTCAAATGACTCTGAAAAATCTAACTGTTTAAACAGGAAGCAGAATTACTTTATTTCATCAGCCAGTTATTCAGCTCCATCATTTGATATCCTGGTCTGTAAGTTATGTGGCTCATTATAAAATATGCAGCTGAGTAAATCATCAAGATAGATGATGTACGGAGTTGGAGATAAGACGGTTCAGACTTGAAAGAACGGAAAAATGTTCTAGTTATGAGGAACGTCCAGGCCTTAAGTTTTTGTGTAAAATGACCCCCATAAAAGGATTATATAAACTCACTTTAAAATATTTAATATCTTATGTTAACACTGAATCAACAATGTAAAAGGTTGGTAAAATAATTCCTAGAGACTTACCGAGAATGTACTCTTTCACAGGAGGTTCAAAAGCAATACTTTCAAGAAATCATTTTCCTCCACTTTCCAAGGTCTACTTAATCTTTATATTACTTCTGTTTGTCTTTAAATGCTATTCAACTTCATGTGGAAATGTTGGCAACCCCTGCCCCAACTCCATTCACCTCCAGCACACAAGAAACTCAATTGCCCTTTGCCTCTCCCCTAACCTTACTCACTGGGGTGGCTGCAGATACACTGGCTTCATCCGATCTTCCTTTCTCACATGCCCAGTCCATTTGCCCTTCCCAAATTTATACTTGCCCTTCCTGGTATGTGAACTCTCTTCTCTGAATATCTGATTGTTTATCTTACTCCCTATCTTTAGATCTAAGCTCAAGTGTCCCTCACTCAGATTCACTGGACACTTAAATCAGAATCAGACACATTTTGACTCCAAAACCCATGAAGCTGAAGTTTTGGTCCCTTTCCAAAGTCTCCTCCCAAACACTGGATTGAGAATTGTTTTGACTTCAAATGGGACCTTTGATTATATAAAATCCAGACTCTATAAAACCCCAGTAAAGACCGGGAGCTAGTGGTTCATGTCTATATTCTTAGCTATTCAGGAGGCTGAGATCTGAAAATAATGGTTCAAAGCCAGCCCAGGTAGGAAGGTCTCTAAGGCTATTGCCTCCAATTAACCAGCAAAAAGCTAGAAGTGGAGCTATAGATCAACTGATACAGTTCTAACTTTAAGTAAAAAGGCTAAGGTACAGTACCAAGACCCCAAATTCAAGCCCAGTTCTGGCAATAAGTAAGTACCTAAATACATACACAAAAGGACCCAAGTAAACCCTTGAATACCCTTTAGCACTTATTACTTCATTGTACTGTGTTTAGTATCTGTTTTCCCTCCTCCTCCATTACAATGAATCCTATCAGGGCACAGACCTTTATTTGTTTGGTTGAGTGTTATATTCCAAGACCAAGAAGCAAGTAAATGCCAATTTCCAGGAAAACATTGCATTGAAATAAGCTTCTATTTCCTTATAGATGTTTAATAGTATAAATAATTTAAAAAATAGGAACATTTACACACTTGAAATACTGGTCTACTCCAAGTGTAATGCCATTCCTGACAAAGCTCAAGGTAAAGGGTAGAAGGCTTTCAACAGAGCAGAGAATTCTTCCTGGCTGCAGGTAATATCCGGGAGTTTTCATGGGCATTGTTACTGTGGGAGCAGCTGGAAAACAAATAGTATAGACAATAAAGTCACAGTGGTATTGAATATTTCCTGTGAATCCATTCACAAAACTTCTACTTAAATTATTTTAGTAATCCTTTACACCGCAATTAATCCAAAACACTGAAAATCACACAATGTGTTCAATGCTGATTTAGATTCTATGTATCTTCATCAGCCCCTTATTATGATAGTCACAGAATCTAAGACTTGACTTTTAAGACAACTATGTTTTTCAAAACTACTAATATAGAAAAAATCCAATAAGTTACAATACATTGTTAAGTATAGAATACATTTTTATTTCAAATATGTGAAAGTTTGAAAAGAACCCCCACACACACCTGAGAATCAAATATATAAAATAAGGTTTCCCATAATAAATAGGAAATACATCTTTAGGAATCTAACAGATGTTTTAACATTCAATTTAAATTGCATTTGAGGAAACCTTAAAGTTAGTTCTGTTCTCATCATGCTAGTTATGGCATCAGTAATGAATGTCCCAGCTGTTAATCATAAGGTTGAGATTATACACTAAATATAAATGATAACTTGTCTCCCTATGCAGTCAGACAAGTTTACAAATAAGGCTACTATGTTGTTGTAGGCCCATGGTTGAAGCTGATGGTCTAAGGTTTGTTCGGTTTAGTTAGCTTTGAGAAGTGGTTCAAATAGAGGTAAACTGAGGTGTTACTTCCAAATAATGCCTCACCTGTAATCTCTTTTGTGACCTATCTAAGAGAAAATATACAAGTAAGAACTTAGTAACTATCTAATCAAATAAAGACAGAATGGTTACCAGTTGTTCACAATCCACTGCTGTTCAATGAGAAGGTATCTAATAATTATATATAAATATCTAGTTATTTGAATTGCCTAATCAAGGCTTTTTTAGGGAGAGGGTAACAGAAATTTCCAGTTCATGTCTTTACACTGATTCACCACAATTCTCAAACCTACAACTAATAGGCTTTACATAACAGTTGCTCCTTGACTATTAAGAAAATCCAAATTACCTAAATGTAATACAAGATACCACATTTTATTTCACAGTCTTTTCTATCCTATAATCAATCATATAACTCCCCTAAGCTTTCAAATATGAGGGTTTAGCTAGAATGGTGTCTCACCTGGGACAATATTAGAAAAGGAAACACTTGACACTCTCTGGAAGAGATAATCATCCTTGTCATAGCCTGTTATTTTGAGAAAGAAAGCTTCATTTGGTGGTATAAAGTCAGAAATATTCCATATGCCATAAGGTTTTCGATCTGGATAATATTTCACAGGAATAGTCTTAAGAGAACCCCCTGAGATACTCAGCAACTCAAGACGATCTACTCTAGCTGGACTGGAAATCCCAGAGGTATTCAGCAGCACATAGGTAGGTATTCCTACAAGAGAAAGAGTTCGTTATCCCTTAAAAGTAACACACAGTTGTGGTTATCTACTAAATATTTACATTATAATGACATACAAGTATCATAAAGATGAGCAGTATAGAATGTCCCACCAGATGTGGGCCAGTTATAGAATCTTTCTATATAAAATCTTTCTATATATAATCAGTGTATTCAGGACCACAGAAATGTAGGAAAGTCTATGTATTTCTTATCAAGCATTGTAGCCTCCTCCTTTGTTTCCCCTTCCCATCCCTTCCCATCCTCCCCTGCGCCCCCAATCCTCTCTGCCCCCCCACCAAAGTTGTAAAGTTCGTTTCTTGTTGAGTAGTATTACCCCCCTGTTTTCTCCCACTTCCTCCCCAACACAACTTTCCCCCCAAGTTGTAAAGTTCATTTCCTACATATTGTCTTGTGAATATCGCTGTTGCACTGGTTCACTCTTTGTCCTTTGTCTCACCATTTTGTTGTTCCCCTTGCCTGGATGTTCATGTTTTCTGGCCCTAATTCAGGAGACTGGAGTAAGCCCAGGAACCTCACCTTTTAACAAGCTCTCTGAATAATTGTGATGGCACTAGTTTGGGGATTACACTTTGAGAAACAAGAATTAGAGCAGAGCATCAATCATGCTTAGAGTACTAATGCTGTTCCTCAATTTTTGTTATTGGATATCATCAAATTATAAACTCACAGACTGAAAAGTGTTTTTCGCTTATACCAATTTAAGGAGTATGCACATACAAACCTTGAACAGGTCTGCTGACTGTTTTCTTGAAGTCTAAGGTGGGTTTTCCAGAAAAACCAGCACGGAAATCAATAGTACTGAGGCCAGTGATGCGAACAGAGTGCCTTCCACTGCTGGAGGTCTGGAAATAGTCAATGAAATGACAACTTCCTGTTAGCAGTTGGTCCCAGATACTAATCACAAGAAACTCTAACAATATGGAAGGCTGCAAAGTGTTTCAGTAAAATTGATATTCAGTAAATGAGTCTCTGACCTGGGTGATCCAAATTTACAATTCTATACTTGAAAGTGTAAAATTACTGTTCTAAAATGCAATTCAGTAATATATGGCATGGCCCATGGTATAAGATCTAAGTATTTATTCAATGGGTGAACTTGATATAAGTCTGGAGAAGCTCCATGGACCTCTGCTTTGTTCTCTGAATTTCTCCTGCAAACACTATTCAGGTTCAATTCTGGATAAATGTTTCTTTTCTCCTTACCTCTGGAACAACATAAACAAGATAAGTATAAGAACTGACCATTCTAAATTTCAGCCACCAAACATCCTCAGCTTAACAATACTCCAACAAAGGGTTCTTGAGGCTGAGGTACAAAGCTCATGACTATTGCCTACCAATGGAGAAGGAAGTCTGTCAATTCAATGCAACAAATACTACAATGCAGATATACAAAGTAAGAATAGACTAGCCTGATCTACTAAGCTGGACTCAATATCAAATCATAAACTCAATACTAATGTGACTAATATGGGTATAAATAATAAATAATTTGCCTGAAGGCCATAGTGAGTAAGTGATGATGCTAATATTTACTTAATCTATGAGCTGAGCAGCGCATTTTAACAAATTGGCTGTTCAATCTTTTGAAGGAAGGACTTTAAGTAAGCACTGAAAGGGCTGGAATCCACAGCCTACATCGTGAGCAGGCCAGGTTCTGGCAAAGATCACTTTATGCTGAAATAAACTTGCATATTGAGTAACTAGGTATCCTGTACCTAAAACTAGTCAAAAGAAATTGAAGAAGCAGAGTAGAGCAGGGTCTAGGTTTCAGAACTCGAATGAGATTGCTGGGAATGAAGGAACAGAAATTACTAGAGAGCAAGGACCATGGAGAGCGCCAGGGAAATCCTGAGTTGCTCCTCTGAGATGTAAGCTCAGATCTTCCCAGAGACCTCCACTGCAAATGGTTGACTTAGCAGCTCAAGAGTGGTGGCTTACTAAATACCTTCCTACATTAAAAGTTCCTTCAGTATGGTAGCATGGCATATTCACCAGTACACAGCCACCCAACTGCCCAGTGTTCATGACTTTCCTTACATTCCCCTAAGATCCAACTCATCAGGAATTCATTGAATCTCAAGTTCACATTATCTTATATAATCTTGTTACAGGCCACGATGATGTTAAAGCACTATAACAAAAATAGCACCTCTAAGAAATTATCACTTACCTTCATTTACACAGCAAGGGAAAAGGCAATTGTTCTGAATTCAATGTTCTTTCTATAGTAGCTAGTTCTAGGCATAGTGTTTTATAATATACTCTCTAGGTTGACTAGGAACCTGTGGCATAGAGGATAATAATATTCCCCAACTGCACGGTTGCCATTATACACTTGCAATTGTCCCTTCAGTTAGGAGGAATCAGGTCTGGCTATGTCTGGAAACTCTTCTGAATAAAAAAAAAAACAGGCCATAGTTTGGGGCACTTTATAATTTTCCTAGTATAAATATTCCCCTCATGGTTTATTTCGAGTTCCAGATCTGATGCCATTAAACATAGCTGGGATGAAAAATGTGTACCTGACTCTCCATGAGGTATTACAGGCCAGTTCCAGCACAGAACCAGGCCATGGTCACTTCTGTGGTCAATGGAAGATAAAGGAAGGAAGGTGTGTCATTTCTGGGATGAAACAGGAATAATACAAAATCCCTTCTTTTATTTATTTAATGGACATTCTTATCTCATTTCCCTCCTGAGGTGACTGAAAATGCTGACGGGGTTCCATCAGCTTGTGTACCTGACTACAGGAAGAAAAACACACTACCAGACACCACAGATCATTAGTGAGGAACTGACTTGCTTGTGTTAAACCAGTGAGAATTCCTCCTGGCACTAAATAGACAACCTACTGCACTCATACATTCAGCTAAATTTGACCAATAGAGCTGTTTCATGTTATTCACTCTTAAAGAATTACAATGTCTTCTACCCCTAAGCATAGAATAAATTCCTCAAAATATGTAGCGCACATACTCATGTACAGCTATATCTGTACAAGTATACAAGCATCTTTTATTAATGGGGTCTTTCCTATTATTTAATAGCCTGATATTGGTGAGTTATAATAACTGGGAATTTTTCCATGAAAAAATCTGCCATCATGCATTACCTTGACCCAAGACATGGAATTAATATCATACCAGGGCTCGTCACAGATATTCAGGAGCACCAGTTGAGATTAATTAAAGGGTAGTATCATAACTTCCCGTGTGGTTCTTCATAGACTTGAAAATGATTTTATCATGATTCCTAAGCAGTGTATGTCAATTACTATTTCTGAAATGTTATCCTGAACAAATGCAGTGTAAATTCATTAGTACACTGTTATAATGTAAATATCTAAAACCAAAAGTTTCTACTAGTGTCAGAATATCAATATAATCACGAGGTTGGTACATTTCCCTTCTCTACTTGTGAGATTATCTAAAGGACATCAACCAGATTTACTTAATGGAAACTGCCTTGTGAGATGTGTTCAATGACATGATCACACTGGTAATCTTAGGCTAATAGAAACATTTTGTATTACCTGAACTCAGTATTCGATATAATCTCAGAGAATTTCTGTGAAAGAGCATAGGACAAAAGTTGGCCCAGGAGAATTTGGATGGTTATATTCCAATACTCTCTATATAAATACAGCTGCCTGGATGGAAAATTCATATTGCTTCTCAGAAATAAGATCCAGGATTTGTAGCTTCCTTGCAAATGGAAATTTAGGAGAATAAAATAACCTCTTCTGCTTTTAATAAAACTATGTTCTTTTTCAGCATACTTTACCTACATCAGAGGTATCCTAAAATATCTGAGTCAGTTACACAATTATACAAATGAGTTGACTCATGACTGTTTGGTGAAAGTACTCTAATACATCACAATAAAATCCCTGCTGGAGAAACAATGAAAGAAAAGGAATAGACACTAATTGTATTTTAAATCACAGACACAGTAAAGTGCCAAGTGCCAGCACATTAAATATAAGTTAACTAAACCCATTCTTGTGCTTGCTTTCATATACTTCACTGGGATAAACACATTTATTTTTTACTCACCACCAGTTATAATTTCTTATGTACTGTGGCAACTATGAGTGACAAAAATCTACTCTTTGGTAACCTAGAAAGAAAAAAAATTCTACAGCAATAAAGACAATATAAGAAAGAAAATAATACAAATGAGAAATACAGGGGGGAAATATGGCTGAAAGCCAGAGGCAGAAAGAGGAGCATGTTAGAGCAGGAAAATACCTGGCATAGTGTGATGGAAGAATTGGCATTTGAGCTGAACCTACAAGTCAACCTAAAAGAAAGGAAATTTAGGGAGGCGAAAAAGACTAAAAGGAAGCAAAGGCAGGAAAAGGTGTTTCAAAATTGTATTTGACTAGAGTATAAAACCAAATGATGGAGTATCTCCAGAAATATTAAGGCTCAATTGACTGATTTTCAGTATCTTGCTAAAGTCAAATAATAGATGGCTCTCCATACTTGGGCTAAAACCTGTTTTTTGAGACACTCAAAAAGCTATTATTAATTCTTGCGATAGAGAAGACACTTTCTAGATAGCAAAATGCATAGGAGATAGCAGGGAGGAGACATTATCTAATCTCAGACATTTCTCTAGATACCGCATGTCTGAGATGCTTACCACTCTTAGCCAGCCAAAGGGGAGATTCAATGTCAACAAAAATATTCATGGCAATAGATTCATCTTCATTTTGTTTGCCTCATTCTGATATGCTCTTTTAGATTTTTCACATTGGTGCTAAGTTTATTATTTGTAAGTTATGCTGCAATCTTATCCTTTGTTTAGATGTTACAATTAATTGTAGTGGAGGAGGTATAAAATAGAAGTGGAGGCTCTTTGTGGGGACTAGATGTAAATCTAAGATAATATAATAAGTAACATGTCTTTTTAGTCTTCCCTTAATTATAGAGACTGAATTTGGAGATTCATCTAAGCAGAATTTTCACTGTCTCAGAATTCATCTTTTTATCACTCTCCTCCTTCCCAGACTCATCCTGGTTATTTTTCTGTTCTAATGATCAATTAAATGTGCTTAACACCCATTAAGTAAGTGGCATGGAACGTAGACATTCAGCAAATGTTTACCGAAAGAACATTAAGCATAAGATAAAACAACTGTCAGGTAATATCCCTCCTCTAGGCAAGAGTTTTACTAGAGGAAACATCACTGGTAGCCATCTGGAAACAGGTTCTCATGTCTTACAATAAGGTACTAATAATATGCAGGAATAGAATGATATCACTTGTGTTTCAAAGCCATTAACAGATAATTCATGATTCAGAAAGCAGCAAGAAATTACCTCACAGTGGACCTCTAGCCAGGCTACTGCTGACTTATATAGAACTTAAATTTGAATATTTTGATATAAAGAGGCTTAATACTTAATAGTATTTCTTTCTACTAGAACGTCAGACTCAGCACTGATCATCTTTCAGGCAAATTGGTTAAAATACTTATAACGTTAAATTTAAGATACATTTATTTAAGATATCATAACAGGAAAATACTTCCTCACTGCCAGCTAAATGCACCTAATACATGTTGAGCACAATATGTAAACCTTAAGCACCCAATAAATGCTGAGCACCAACTGTGTATAAGGAACTGTTCATAAAGCAGGCAGATAGGACCTTGTGATCTACTCATTAAAAAAAAAAAGAAAAAAACTACCAGAACTGCTTTCTCATGGCTTTTTCTCCTATCATCTTACTTAATAATATCCACTCAGAGATATCCATACTATAGGATTTAAATCCTTATAAGATTTAAAGTTCTGAGTTTTAAAAAATATGATATTCTAGCACTTGAGTGGAGTTTTATTTTTTTAATTATTTTCATTTTGTCACTTTTTAAATAGGAAAATGAACATAGATATTCTTTCAGAATATGAATGGACTGGCATGTAAAAATGTACCCTTGCATGTTTATAATATATATAATCTCTATACATGTGCACAGCAGTTAGTTCTATCATATGAATGACGAGCCCATACATCCCATTTCTTATGAAGGGAAACTTGGCCAATGAACAACAAAACAGTGCATGAAACATTGTCTTTTGCATGAAGTATTTTCATTTGGATTCTCCCCCAGGATTCTGGTAAGTGGTTTACTTGGGAGATGCAAAGCATGCTGATAGGAAGAGGGAAATGACACAGGGAAAAAAAAGGCCAAAAAAGGCTATGCCTTTAAGTCTGTTCTCACAGTAGACAACATGTTTATTCTTTCAAGGATTGAAAGTGTATTATATTATTAATTTATTTCTTCAAGGGCTGAAGGGTATTAATTCCTCAGCTTTTACTTGATCTATAAAAAAAACCTCTTAGGTACATCATGGGAGATAAATAAAATGGGAGATAAATAAAACCAGGCCCTACTATAAAGTCTGAGAAGGATGAAAAGTCACATAGAGTATCTGTCCTACTAGTCCACATGCAATCTGCAGCAAAATGACATCTCTGACTTGTGGCATCCCAAACTTCAATAAGTGCTTTCTGTTCTTAACTCTGCCTTGCCAAAACAGGAGGTATTCTTTCACTACAGACTTTTTTAGCATAATTCAAGAACATCAAAACCATTTTGAGAATGAAAAACAATGAAGACAAATCTATAAAATAACAACAGCCAACAGTACTTGAGATCTTGCTTTGAACCAGAAACCATAGTAAATAATTCATGAAGTTCATCTTGCTTTCATTCTCAGACCAGTTCTATAAATTAAAAGCTTCCAGTGTCACTTGGCAGAGGAGGAAAGGCCAGGAACAGAGAAGTTCTGCTCTCAAATCAGTACATCTGGCTGAGGGGTTGTGGCAGTTCTCATCAGAGCCGCTGGCTATAACCATTATTCCTCATTGGCTCCAGCTCTGATGGTTTTGGAAGCATGAGGTAGATTGTAAAGATCATCTACAGATTTGATAACAGGAAAATTATTCAAAAATGTTCAAGTGTTACTGCGTGGCATCAATGATGTTCTTGGTCATCAAAGAAACACTACCAAAGTCACGTGATCAAGACCCCTCCTAGCCAGGCACACTGTGTGCATTGCTTTTTGTGGAAAGTGTTTTTCATGAGTGCAAGAGTGGATATAAATAAACTATTGTGTGTACTTTGCCAAACATGCCAACGTAAAAAAATAAAATAATAAACAGACTCTGTGAAATAACAGTACCTTCACTGTCCACATTCCAGCCTCAGGCTCTTTCACATTCACCACTTTGGCAGAGTTGTGGATATTTAATAGCTCATTCAGGCCGAAGCCCTTTTTTATCAGTTTCCCTAAAAGACAAACATAGAGACAAGTATAATCCTTCTCCTTGTTAAATCTGTCAGCTAATTTAACATTACATAAAGCGAGGGGTAAGACCAGAGTTCAAATAACACAGAAACATTTTTTTTTTACTACAGTGAAATGTATTCCATATCTAGTGCACATCACCTAGGCATTTACCGCTGCAATTCAAAGTTTTATTTTACTTATATCTGAAATATTCTTAGTTTTGAGATTTGGGGACATTGGAATTGAAGTAACAGCTTCCCTTTTGTTATGTCAATTTGATGGTAAAACAAAAAAGACCAAAAAAAAATCCCAAAAAACAACCATTGAGAAATGGTAATCATATTTCCAAAACCAACCTAGATAATAATTACAATGCTACCAATACATTAAATTCAAACCCTTGAGATAATTAATGGCAGAGATTGTAAAAAAAGAAAGAAAAGTAAAGAAAAAAAAAGAAAAGAAGAAGACCAGAACAGCAGGTCTTTTGGGAAATCACTCAAGGTATTACTGACCTCAAAACTCTTGTATAAAGAGCAAAACTTGAATCAGTTTCCCTACAGCAGAGGAGAAGGCTTTTATCTATCACAGGAATAATTAAAGCTGGGGGTGTAATGAAGTGCATGGTACCATCCCCTCCTGATCTGAGATTTATCTAAAGAATCTAAGAGTTGGAATCTAGAAAGAAAGAAAAAGCAAATTTGGAATTGAGCCACCATTTAGTTATTCACTCTTGGCTTCCTATGGACCACATCTGCTTTTATATAAACAAATAAGTTGTAAGCATTCTATGTTGGAATCCAAAGATTGGCAATCATTGTGTTCCATGGGCTTTGTGAAGCAGTAAGAACATAATGCAGTGGTCCAGGTATGTTTGAGCATCCAGATCAGGAGACTCACAAGCCTCTCCTGGGGAGCACGAACTTTATTGTATTGGAATGTGACTTAAAACAGACCAACCAGTAGAAGTCTTGAAAAAAAGGTCTTTTGGTATATTTCAATGTGTTTGCTAGTGTGGATCTTGCCTCAAAAGACAACTTCAAATGTCATTGCCTTTTAGGAATTATTTTCTTCTAAGAAGACAATTAAGTTAATTCCTTCCCAGCCTTGGTATTTTCAATAGGTTAAAAAAGTCTACAACATTTACCAAAGTCAAAGTGGGAACAAGACTACTTTGTAATTATCAATAAGTAAAAACATTTCTAAATACAAATATTACAAAAAGTGACATTTGTTGTTACATTGTTTGTCAATATGTCTTGCAATTATCAATCAGCAATGGGATCAAATAGTATGGGTATAAAATAGTATTTAGTTAAAAAAAGGAAAATTATAACATTCCACTAATAATAAATTTGATTTTTGCAGTGCTGAGCGTTGAACTAGGGCTTTCTGCATGCCAGACAATTCTCTACCAATGAGCTGAATCCTGAAACCTAAATTTGATTTTTAACAACTGTCTTCTGCAAAATTAAACCTTATAAAGAAAATGAGCATCAAATTTAGACAGCTGTTAATGAAGGTTTATATGATTCTTTTAAAGATAACATAAAATGCTAGCATTTATAGACTAAGTTACTGTGAAATATCTCACCAAATATATCTTGAGTTTTGATTTAATTTTTTCATTGAGTATTTAAAATACAATACGAATCTAATCTGAGTGAAAGAAGGTTTAGCTTTTCAAATCTCATGTTATTTCAACAATAGTAAAGACTATTAAAAAATTCCTTCTAGTCACATTGGAATTGATTGAAATCCTCCACAAACTCAACATTAACTTGACATAAATGAGTGGGAAAGGGCTGGGAAGGTGGCTCAGTGGTAGAGCGCTTGCCTTGCATGCATGAGGCCCTCGGTCCGATTCCTCAGCACCACATAAGTAGAAAAAAAAAGCCAGAAGTGGTGCTGTGGCTCAAGGGGTAGAGCACTAGCCTTGAGCTGAAGAGCTGAGGGGCAGCGCCCAGGCCCAGAATTCAAGCCCCGCGACTGGACCCAAAAAAAAAAAAAAAGAGTGGGAAAACCTTTTTATTCTGCTATTATCTTTGTCCATGACTATGGGATGGTTGATTTCTCTCACCTAAAGGATTTCGAATTTCAATCATTGGGGAAGGGCCACTCAGAGATACTGTGACCTCTTTGAGGCTGGGATCAAAAGGAATTTTCCAAGTGTTTACAGCCTGTGTCAAATGATCTGTGGATAAGAGGTGAACTTTGGAGGCCTGCACTGCTTCTTCAACCCACTTTAACACCTGTAAGAGAAAAAAAAAGTCTAAGTGACAGCAGAAAGTATTTATATAGTTCATACCTACTCTAGTTCAGGGTCTCCAACTGACCACATGACTCAGGCACTACCTGTACTGAGGGGTAAGGTTTATTTCATTTATTAGTGAAGAAAGCTTTTCCTGTGATTTTTACAGATTCTGAATGAAATGTTGGTTTCATCTGTGCTTAAATGTCAAGTGTTCCCATCAGAGAATAACATTAAACAGAGAAGTCCAAACAGGCATCAGTGGCCTACGTTTGTTATCCTTGCTACTCAGGGGGCTGAAGTTTGAAGGATCACAATTTGAAGCCATCTCAGGCAGAAAAGTCCAAGAGAGTTCAGTTCCAAAATTTTAATAACCAGAGCAATGTAGGATAGAAATGGTTTGGTTCAAGTGGTAGAGAACCAGCAAAGCCTAGCAAGCCCGAGGCTCCAAGTTTAAACCCCAGAACCAGAAAATTTAAAACAAATTCAGTTTTGAAAAATTAGAAAAGTGAAATGCACATAGGTATCATAAATAGTTTAACCATGACTCAAAAGAAGTGACAGGAACTTACAAAAGAGAACAGTAGGGCCAAAGTTATATGGTTGTTTTATTCCATTCTTTCTGAATTTCATTTATTCTTTGATTTAATTAATAAATGATACCCACTCAGTCCAATTGTCAAATCTAATTCTAACGTATTCAATCATTGCTTTGGAACACAATTACATAAAATGTGTTTTATTACAGTCCATAATATTATAATATATTAATTTTGAAAAACAACTGCAATATCACAAGATGAAATTTTAGGATAAAAACAAATACAATACAATGAGAAAAGTAACTGTTGTATTTAATGACAACAGGAAAATACTTTAGAACCAATTTAAGAAGTGCATTCTTGTAAACTAGTTATTAGGAAAACTGAGTTACAAGGAGATATGGACATGGAGAACTGCCACTTCCCACAAATGTTCTCCAGTATCACAAACAATTGCCCATTAGACAAACAGTGCAATTAACAGATCTTGATACAATTAATTATAAAATCACGATAATCTGTAATCTATTTCATCTGTCTCTGTTTAATGTCTCTCAAGATTTCCTATCATTGAGGAAAATTTCTCTGGTATTGAGGCATGAGACACTAAACAAAGCTGAATACAGAGATACAGTTGTGCTATTAAAATAAACAAAAATAGTTTTAAAATGTCAGTTGAGTTAGACACAAACTAAGTAACCAAGCAACAAATGTTGTGTAATAGCTTCCTTCTTTTCAGTGCCTTGCACTTGATAGGCAAGTAGTCTACTATGTCAGCCATGCCCTTTTCTCTTCTTGTTCAGGCTACTTTTGAGATGGAGATCTCGCTTTCTACTCAGTCTTGTTTGGACCTTGATCCTACTATTTACATGTCCCAACAACACCCAGGATGAGAAGCATGGGCTACAATGTTCAGCTGTTTTTGTTGAAATGTCTCATGAAGTTTTTATTTTATCTAAGGTAGTCTGGGACTTTTGATCCTACTTATTTCAGCTTTCCTTGTAGCTGGGATGAAGCACATATTATACTATTCAGAAGGTCTCACAAACTTTGTACATATATTGGCCTCAAATAGCAATCTTCCATCTCCTAATCAGTTAGGATAACAAACATGAACATCAGAACCACCAGCATCCACTTTTCTACCAAAAAAAACACCTCCTTTTACTTTTCTTTCTTTTTTAATTTCCTCAAGGAGTAAGGAAAATATTTTTAAAATATTACCATAATTAACAGTATTTAAGTTCACCATAAAACAAATGCTCATTGTTTGAGGTGCTCTGCCAGGCACTTTGTATTGGTGTACACACTTTTAGTCAATATTTAGTAAGTATCCGTCTCGGAGAGCTATTTAGTATAGCTTTCTTATATGTTTTTTTCATACATGTTTTTAACTGTTGTAGAATCAAAATTCATTTTATTTGTAAGTGTAAAATGAACTGGTATCTTCTACAAATGTCAAAGAAGACATAGGTGCTAATGACAAAAGCAGTTAACTGCAATGGTCACACTAAAATGTTCTGCAATGGGGATTTGTGAGACCAGGAATTCTTTTTTTTAATAAGATTTTTAAATCATGAAAATACCATTTAGAGGGTTACAATTACATGAGCAAGGTAATGAGTACATTTCTTACCAAGCATTGTTGCCTCCTCCTTTGTTTTTCCCCTACCATCCCTGCCCTCCCATCTCCATGACTACACTCCTCACCACCACCACCCCCTGCCAAAGCTGTTAAGTTCGTTTTTCAACATAGCATCTTGTACATCTCATTGTTGCAATGTGGACCAGGAATTCTTATTGAAATAATCACTGTAAAATTCCATCACCACCCTCCCACATAGAAGATATTATAATGGTATTAGTTGCCTCCAACTCCAAATAAATTCCCTTTTCGTGCGCTGGTTAAGTATTTCAACACTGACTTCACAGACAAAGCAAAATAATCAGGCTATGAAAGACAGAAAGATTTTTTTGGTAAATGAAACAAAGAGACAAATTCAGACTAGGTAGCACAGGAAATCTGAGCCAATGCACAGAGATGAAGAGTACAAGTATGTTGGAAGAAGGAAAGAATCCATCCAGCTGCAGAGAAGTGTTCAGATAAAGATAAGCCAAAAGGAGATTGGAAGCTGATCAGGACCAGGCAGTAGATGAGCATGAGATCAGGCTCTGACATGGAGATTTCTTCACAAACTACTTAAGTATTTTAAGTAGAAGAGTGTAGTTGTAGAGGTGGGAGGGAAGGGATGGTAGGGGAAAAACAAAGGAGGAGGTAACAATGCTTGATAGGAAACGTACTCACTACCTTGCTCATGTAATTGCAACCCCTCTATACAGCATTTTTACAATAAAAAAAACAAGTATTTTTTCTTGCTTGCTATTGTTTCTAACGTATTTATAAGGTGCCACATAATTTTTTGTTGCTTTGTATGTCCCTCCCCCACAGTATAACCCGTTTTCACTGTATTTGATGTCCGTCTAATTTGGGGAGGGGAAGGGAAAAAACAAATTGTTTAAATAGGGATACAGGTTGACATTACAACAATGAGATGTACAAGACACTATGTTGAAAAATGAACTTTACAATTTAGGTGGGGGAGAGAGGGGCATGGGGCATGGGGAAAGGGGGGAGTGTAGTTGAGGAGGTGGGAGGGAAGGGATGGTAGGGGAAAAACAAAGGAGACTTGATAAGAAATGTGCTCATTACCTTGCTCATGTAACTGTAACCCCTCTGTACAGTATTTTCACAATAAAAAAACTTATTTAAAAAATGTATTAAAAAATTTTAAAAAGAGTGAGCCACTGGAAGTAATCTATCACAAAGAAAAACTTGAAATGTTTCATAAGTGAATTCAACACAAACTTGTATCTAATATAGCTAATCATTTTAAAGCAAGCAATACATTTCTTCACAATTTAATCTTATAAAGCATCTGAATTTTACATATAACAGAATACATATACCAGCAAAGTTGTCTAGAGAAGTAATTGACAGTGTTTAAAAATGGATTTTTAATGATCATGTCTACAAAGCTATGAGTGGTTCTTCTCCATAAATATGTCTATATTATTAGCAACAGAGACCAAAATGACAGTAACTAATATTTAAAGTATATATATATATATATATATATATATATATATATATATATATCTTACTAATCACTGTTGAAATTGTCGTGTCAGTATAGGAAACACTTCAAGGATCTGCTTTACTAAAGAGAAAAGATTTTATTAGGATCAGATAAAGCATTTGATAAATGTAACCAAAAATAAATAACCATGAGGATAATGTTGTATATGGAACAGAAAAGGGCAAAGGGCAGAGAGAAATTGGATAAAATGGACAGAATTTGTACTTTGAAGGGAATACACACAACATGGTCATAAATGACTGTCAGTAGAAAAAGACTAGAAAACAAGTACCACTAACAGTTGCATGGCATCTCACATTTGAGAAAATGCTATAACTATCAAGTGGAAATGGAAGGAAAGGCGATTTTTATATAACTCCTCCCACAACTGGATATTCCTCAAGTATGTTTTTCCTTCAAATACAATATAGACAGGTTCTGGTGCAATGCTAGACATCTATCCAGCCATCCCTTGAATACTCATGCAAGTCTCTAAGTTGTAAGTGTCCTTAGCAAGATGGAAAGAAGCCTTTCTAATATAGTTGCAGTTCCACAAGGCCAGTGTGTTCAACTATGGTAGAATACAAACAGGTACTGGTTTACTTTCAATATCATTTCCAATTCATCAACATTTATGAGCTTTCACAAGGAGATTACCTTGTATCATAATATTACTGGTTGGAAAAGATATAGTGCAGACTTACATTAGGAGACTCAAATCATTTTTTTATCCACTCATAAGAAAAAACAAATTGAAAACAGATGCAACTCCTTTTATGAGGAAATTCTGATACTACCAACATGCAAAATACAAGCAGATCAAATGCATGCTACGGAATGTATAGAAAGTGAGGTTTCCAGTTCCCGGGATGCCAGATATAAGAAAAAAAAAGTCTCTTAATTGCCTAACTACGGGGAATGTTCTCATAAGATTGGAAATGATCTATTGTAATGACAAAAGAGATAAAACTAGAATAAAGTAAGTCTTTGGGTTGTGCGCTTCTATCAACACAAAAACTTTTTCAAACCACTGGGGAGCCATTTATAGTACATTAAAGGTTTTAATGTAAAAGTGGTTCTCAAATGATTTATAGCAGTTTATATGTATGAAGGACCCGGGGGACCATCTAATCCAGCTCCTTAATTTGACATATGAGAAAACTGATATTGGAAATGAGTTCCTGCGTTTTTCTAAAACCTACTCAGATTGAGTCTGGCTCAATAGTTACATTTTTATATAAGCTCCTTGTTCCTGAAGATGCTCTCAGTGCTCCAAAGACTTTTAAATTGCCTGGACATAATAGCTCAAAGTAAGCTCACAT